TATTTCTGGAACGTGAAATCTAGGTCAAAAAGAAGGAGAAAATCTGAAGGAAACGATAACAGTCTCTCCCTTCAAAGGCCGTATGGGGTCAGCCCTGGTTGATAGGATTAGCACGGGGCCACTCCGGTACCTCACTGCTCAGCTGCAGCCCCTCACACCCTGGCTGAGCAGCGTGTCCTGGCCTGTGCCTTGCTTTCCTCTGCATTCAAACCGCTGGCTCTTCCCCACCAAGGGAGTGCTCTGCTCCAGCTCCTGGTGTGCCCATGGCCTCTGTGGCTGCTCGGCTGAGGGAGGAGAAGAGCACAATTTGTCTGTTTGGTACCTGCAGAGGAGGAGGACGGGAGTCTTCCCTCAAAAGCTGTTGCTACATCACTTTTCTGGAAGCCATGGAAACTCGTTCCACAGCACAGCAGCCTTTGGGGGTTTGGGCAGCTGCACGGTGCTGCTGTCCTGTGACACGGCGTGGAGGTGTGCGTGTGCTTTGTCTCGCCGTGCCCCTTCCTGCAAGAGCCCTGCACGGGGCTGTCAGTGCCAGGGCTGGGATCTGCCTTCCCCCAGGGCAGGGCAGGGTTCCTGGCACAGCACCGATCCTGGGAACCATCTCACTAGCTGGGTTGTGGAAAAAAAAAGCAATACAAAGGAGACACAAAACTGGCTGGAGGCAGAAGAGGAGCTATTCTGTCCTGCCTTTGAGAAGTATCTATTCCAGGTAGAGAGCCTCATACCCGCTTGGGCTTGGCAAAGCCACGGCCTGTGGATGGGCACAAGGTGTGTGCAACCCTGGCCGCTGTAGGCACAGACCTTGTGCCTGCTTCTGCTTGGAGCCAAGGACTGGGCTTCTTTGGGCTCCTTCTGCACCAGGTTCTGTGATTCCCTTGCCAGGCTGGGCTCAGGGTCTGCAGCCTCTGCTCCACCGGTCCTGCTGCCATGGGGCCAGCAGAGAGGGAGAACTGGAGGGCACCTCCAGATGTCTTTTGTCTCAGCGACCCATAGGAAAAACAGGTCAACAGAGCCCAGGCCTTGAAGGAGGAGGCAGAGCTGGATCTCCTGGCCTCCCTGGAAGAGATCTGGGCACAGAGTAAGGAGACGGGCACCTGGGCTTCTGGGAACAGGCTGCTGAATCCCAGGGCAGGGTGCTGCCATGAGCAAGGCTGACGTTACCAAAAAGCATCAGGAGAAGAGCCTGAGCAGGGACTGGTTTGGTGTAAGCTTTCCCTGCTGTCACTGGGGCATAGGTTGGAGGCTGGGCTGGGGTCTCAGCTTGTTTTTCTGTGCTTTGCTCACCTCTCTGCTTTCCCTCTTACCCTGGACATCAAATATTCAAGGCCCTTTGAGTGCAGCTCTGTATCCTCACGCAGTCTATTAAGCAAGCAATTCCCAGTAATGCCTCTAATAAGAAGGAACTGGGGCTGGGGAGCCCTTTGTAATACACAGGAGTCTCTGTGGCTGTCAGCAGAACGCCTGGCAATTAGATGAATAGGTTTCACTGGGGCTTTTCAGTCTCCCGCTTTGCAAAGCACAAAGCTTTGTTTAAGGCTGATCAAGGGCAGCTCATCATCTGTCTAGCTGGCTGTCAAATGGGAGTTAATTGCCCTGTAATATGCTAGTGACACAGGAGTTTGTCTGCGCACACCGCAGACCCTGAGGCTTGCAGTCCTCCAGGAAATACAGCCTGCTGCATGTCCTCTTCTCCTCAGCTGGGGGCTGAACCCCCACAGTACTGCTTAGCTTTACCATTCGTCCCCTCAAAGATCAAGAAACCTGTGTGAGGCACAGCATTCCTGCAGCTGGTGCCTCTGTAGGATGTGAAGAAACCCAGTCCTCCCCTTGGTGACCAGGAACACGATGGATGGGAGCAGTTCCCCTGGGCCAGTGCGTGGATGGTGAGGAGGAGGGTGCCCACGGGAGGGGGACAGGGGGAGGACTCCCGGTTGTTTCTTCCCAGAGCCCAGCGTGGAGCAGGGGCTGCGAACAATTCAGGGATGAACACATGCATTTGCAGGAGGAACTGGGACCATGTGGCTGATTAAAGGTGTGACTGCTGTCCGGATATGTCTCCTGCCTTCCCCATTGTGCACACACACAAACACAGATGCTCTTCTCTGCTCCTCCTCTTCCTCCCCCCCCTCACACCCCCCACAAAATCTGTTTCCCTCCCGAAGCCCCTGCAGCAAAAGTAAAGGGATGGGAGGTGTTCTGAAAATCAGCAAATCTCCGCTGGGTCATGTCACAGAGAGGTGACGCTTGAACGGTGGCAACGAGTCATTTTGAAAGCCTTGAAAGCCCCTTCCTGTGCTCCACCTGCTGTTGTTTGCCAGCACTGGTGGGGGCTTGCAGCAGTGCTGAGCTCAGCATCCTCTGCACTGTCAGGAGGAGCAGGGTGGGAGTGGGCTGTGCTTGTGGGTTGCCCGTGCTCCCCTTCCTGCTCCCCCTCCCTACTGCTGGCACAGGGCACCAACCCAGCGCTGGGTCGCGTGCTCTCCAGTGCCTCCATGCTGGGATCGCCCTGCCTGGCTGGACCTGTCTGGGTGTCCCTGTGGCTGACAGGGCTTGCTGCTTGAGATGCTGTCTCTCACTCCTGCCTGCTCTGCGGTCTGCCTGGTATTACCATATCCAGAGCATCATCTTTTCATCTGTGTTCCTAAAAGCATTCCCGAGAGTCACACAGCCTCCTTTCAGCTCATCATGGGGCTGAAGCAGCAAGTTGGATCTGTGGATGGAAACCATGTGCTCTGTGCAACCTGGCTGAGGACAGAGCGCTGCCACTGCTGTCCCAGGCTCATGGTGACACCACTGACAGGATGCAGTGGGTGTGCTGGGCAGGCAAGAGGGGAGACCTCTGCCCCTCTGTGTTACAGGTGAGTGTCATCTGGGGCACTGGCAAGGAGCTGGGAGCAACAGTGCACCAGCTCTGCCCTCTGAGGCTTCCCTGATGCCAGGTCCACAGGGTCTGAGCTGCCCTCACCGTACCTTGCTGTGTTGGGCTGGTGACCCCAGCACCCTGGCAAAGTGATTCACCCCAGCAGCAGTGCTCAGTGGGGCAGAGCTGGCTCCTGCAACCATTCTGCAAAATTACCGGCTCTGCTGCGGTGCTGGGAGAGACAGCCCAAGGGTCAGGAACATCTGAACAGTGCTGCCTCCAGCCTCTGCCCTGCCCAAGGGGAAGGAGTTGCCCTGGAGTCACCTCTGAGGAAGAGGCTGGGCTTTTGGCCAATACCATAGTTACTAATCAAAAGAGAAGGGCCTGCCCGGAGTGAGTAATGCCAGAAGAGGCATCTAGAGGTGGGCACACGGTGTTAACCACTCAGGGACAAGAACACAGGCTACAGGTGCTAGGCACTGGAGCTCAGAAAGGCTCCTTAATGCCTTGAAATTCAGAGCAAGACCTGTTTGTACCTCACACCCGAGATGTCAGACGGGGGTCTCTAGGTTAGGACGTTTGAGGGGTGAGGGACATACATGACTCAGACACCTGTGTGGCTGCCGCCACCCAGCATGTCTCCAGGAAAGAAAGCAATTGGAGCCAGTCCAGCCAGAGGATAAACTCCCAGCACCTCCTTGTCAGAAGGTTTTGGAAGACTCTCCTCCAGGCTATAATGCCAGCAGCAGCCTGTGGGCTGGGGGTGGCCAGGTGACACTGTCACTGTCACCTCTTCTGCCCTGGTTGCTGCATGGACTGGGCCAATGCTTGGGCTGCGCAGGAGCACCTGGCCATGCACACTCCTCTTCTAGCTGGGCACGGTCTGATCTGCCTGCGACTGCTGGGCAAAATCACAAACCCTGAGGGGCCAGAGGGGGCAAACTTGCACTGTTCACCTTTTTTCCCAGACTTGGCACCCCAGACCTGTTTTTGGAGTCTTGCCCTGTATGGGAGTCTGCAAAGAAACAAGACTTACCTGGGGTAAGTCCTACCTGGGGAAACTGGGGTTGTTCAGTCTGCAGAAAAGGTACCTTGTCTCTCCCTACAACTACCTGAAAGGAGGCTGCAGTAAGGAGGGTGTGGGTCTCTTTTCTCAGGGGACAAGTGATAGGACACAAGGAAATGGCCTCAAGTTGTGCCAGGGAAGGTTTAGATTGGACATCAGGAAGAATTTATTCACAGGGAGTGGTTAGGCATTGGAAGAGGCTGCCCATGGAAGACAGACACCATCCCTGGATGTATTTAAGGAATGTGTGGTCATGGCAGTGAGGGACATGGTTTAGTGGTGGACTTGGTACCATTAGGTGATGGTTGAACTTGATGAACTTAAGGGTCTTTTCCAACCTAAACAATTCTATGATTCTGTTGTAAAAGACTTTGGGTGAACCCCAAAGCCTTGTCACTTCTCTGCCACTGAGGGATGGAGGCAGGTATCTTCTGCCTTCCCTCCTTCTGTCAGCCCCAATTTCTACCTCTGGCAGAAGGGGCTGAAGAGATCAGGATTCACTCAGACTCGGGAGAAATGAATGCTGAGTCCCTGACCTCAATTTTTGCTTCCAGGAATTTCAGGGAGAGGCCAAAGCTGCCAAGCGCAGCCCAGACTGGAGGAGTTACGGTCAGATGCATAACGGAGAGGAGGAGGAGGAGGAGGGAAGCTATCAGCACTGCAGGGCAGCAGGACTGCACCCACAGCCCTATGGGACTTGGGGTGAGGAGGGCAGGCAGTGCTCCCCACACGCAGCAGGGTGAGGTGGGCATCCCATGGGGCGCTCCCAGCTGGGTTTGCCTTCACCGAGCGAAGGCGCTGAGTCCGACCTCTGCAGCCTGCAACAACTGTGCAACCAGAGCCCGTCTGCCATTTCGGCACCACATCCAGGGACTTGGGCACGGCCATCCTGGCAGCATCCCTGCCGTGCTCTGCCAGCACACAGCAAACTCAGAGACGCAGTCCCCGTGGAAATCTTGGACAACCGAGGCTGGAGACACCCTGCAAGGTGTCTGAGGGCAGCGCCCTGCACCCCCAGCACCTTGGGCACTCACACCCCATCCCCACGACTGCCGTGGCCTCGCTGGCACTCACTGTTGGTGGGCAGGGTCCTGCTGCCGCTGAGGCTGCCCGCTGGTGGGGGGGAGATGGAGCGGATGGAGCCGGTGTCCTCGTCCTGGGAGCAGCCCGCCTGGATGGCTCGGAGGTAGCTGTGGCTCCGGGAGCGGAAGTAGCTGGGCAGAGGCAAGTCCAGCACCTCGGCGGCAGCCGACTCGGCCTCGCTGTAGGTAGAGTCACAGACCGCCTCATACTGCTCCCCCAGCTCCGGCTCTCTCGCCTGCACAGGAAGAGGGGCAGAGCAGTCACCCCCTGCCCAGGGCTGGGCCCCTTCCCTTCCCTCCTGCAGCTTTCTCCGCTCCCCTCCGTGTGGTGGCTCCCAAGCGATCTCAGCCAGGCACAGGCAGAGCTGGAGGAGCAGCACTGGCATGGGGGTCCCAGCCAGGGGAGAGGGGCTCCTCCTTCCAGGCCAGAGGATCCTTGTGGGAGCAGGAGGCGCTTAGCACCACGGTGCCAGTAAAGCACTCCCTGAGATGGGGAGCAGGAGAGAGCTCGGTGCAGGCTGAGACCTGAGCAGGGAAGCTCCACTCCCTGCTCCCCTGCTGCCTCCACCTCCCCTGGCCCGGCCCTGTCCTTGAGGGGCAGTAGCTGATCCAGCTTCAGCTCGGGAGACTCACCCAGATCAAACCAGAGCCAGCCTGGAACAGCAAGTGTTTTGAAATACTGATGATGAGAGATGCTGAGGTTTGCTCTGTCAGCCACTTCCACCTCTCCTGGCCCTTTCTTTGGCTTCAAGGACAGGATTTATGACCAGTGCTGGCATCTGTAGCCTTTCCCCGAGCTCCACAGGGTTTGGCTGAAAAAACTCATCACGATCCCCAAAAACACCCCTGAACCCTCTGCTGAGGCCGGGGGAACCAAACTGTCCAGTCACCCTGCAGTGCTCTGGGCTGGGGAGTGCATCGTTCTCCTCCTCCTGTGGCCCTGGGCAAGGGTACCCCACAGCTGCCTCGCACCCTGCAGTGGGGGTCCAGGGATACCTAAGGAAGCTCCATGAGGAAGGAAGAGGGAATGGCAGCGGGACGGTACCTGCTCTCCATGGGTAAATATCTGAGGGATAAGTGAGGGGGGTCCAAAGATCTGGAAGAAAGAGTTGGAGAAGGTTAAAGGCCAGGAAAGGGGCAGCCCTCACAGAGACAGCCATTGCACAGGGACCAAGGACGAGGGGAGCACACAGCCCTTTCCTTTGGGCCACCACTGCTGACACTTCAGTACAAACTTCAGAGCCCATAAGATGCCAAACAAAATGCCTCACAGGCCCCACAAACAAGGCACAGCAAAGCTCCACGGGACGCCTCTGAGATGGAGATAAGCTGCTGATGCATTCAGCACGTTGTATGCGCTGTGTATTAATATATACACACACGGGGCATACTGGCACTCTGACAGCAGAAACACAATGCCCTGACTGGAGCAACCCCTGGGCGCACACAGGGTGCCTGTGGCTGTGGGATGAGGCGTGTGGCTCCTGGTTAGCACCCTGCAAAGCCCCAGCACTGGCCAGTGCTCGTGGCGTGGCTGCAGAGCTGGGTGCACGGGCAGGCTGAGCACTGCGCATCAGGGGAACCATCCTTTGCCCTGCTGGGACTTGGGCTGGCCACCCTGCTGCTATCTCCTCTGCCCCTGCACCAGGAAGAGGCCCCATGGAAGCAATGCTCCCTTCTCTCCATAGCAAAGCCACGGCACACATTTGGCATATGGACAGATGCCTGACAGACACTGCACTGCCTGCCAGGAGGAATCTTTTCTCCCTATCTCCTGGCTGTTCCCTCCATCCCCGCTCTGCAGAGCACAACCACCCCAGGAGCTCCTCCCTTCACGAGCTGCTCAAGATGACCCATCTCGGGAAGAATCCAGGTTCAAAATGTACCTCAGGGAAGAAGCTTGTCTCTGGGGGTTGGGTCTGGCCATCCTACATAAGGCACAGCTCAAATTGTGTCTCAGCAGTGTTGGGGGTCAGCAGCTGGCTCTGTCTGGCAGCGGGTCCCTTCCTGTGAGAGGTGGATGCTGGCACACATCAGATGAACCTCGGACTTCCAGAGGTTTGCAAGGTGGAGTTCAGCTTGCACAAAGCCAGGCAGAGTGGACTTGTCTTTGAGAGACAGATATGTTTCTGTACGGGAGGATGCTAAGTCTTGCTGGACAAACAAAGAAGATGTTGGGGGTCACCCAAAAAGGAGGGCGGAGGAGGAGCTGCCTGCAGCACTTATGAAAAGGCAGGGCAGGCCTGGCAGAGGATCAGGCCAGCACACGCGAGGTGGCTGTACTAGCTCCACCCTGAATCAAGAGTTATGCAGTTTGTGAGAGGCCTCTAAATCCCAGTTCAGCTGCAACTGGACTGTCTTTGGTTTGGAGGAAGGCAGGCAAAGCAAAATGATGACACCAGCCCCATGGCTGAGCTGGTGCCGTGGCAGTCAGTATGACAGAGCTGCAGGTCTGGGTCTGGAAAGGAGCATGTGCTGGGCACTTCCTGGCACAGTGCAGGCTGCTCAGCCCCTCGAGACACTTCTGATGCCTTCGTGAGGATGCTGCACTTGTCTGCTAAATGGCAAACATGGGGTGGGGGAGAGCACAGACTCAGCTTGCCCGTGGTTTCCCCTTCCCTGCAAAGGCCTGGCTTTAGACACAGGTTTACATGCAAAGGACAGGAATGCAATGGGCCTGACCTCTTTCTCATTGTGACAAAACATCCAGAACGCTTTTATCAATATACAAGTAACAAGACTGACCACAAGGAACATGTACACCCACAAGCAATGCTCTGTGCCTTTCCCCAGAGCTCTCCACAAATGGCTCCAGCTGCAGGTAGCAGCAGAAGAAGCCAGCAGTGTGGCTGGAGCAGCCGGGTGGGGATGGATGTGGGTTCAGAGCCCTGTGCACCTGGAGGGGAGTGCCAGCACACACCTCTTGCCGTCCTCCATGCTGTGCTTCCTGGTGTCCAGCCCACTTTGTTAACCTCGTGCTGCCTCCCTTGACCGGGGAGCACTGGCAGCGTGTGGGGAGGCAGACTGGAGCAGCATGGAAGGGGGGCATGTGTGTGTATGTTCCCACGTAGGCACACAAGGACAGAGAAGGGACATAACACAGGCCCAGGGTGACAGTGACACAGCTGGGCAAAGCTCGTGGAGCCACTGATGCCCCAGACACCCCCTCCAAAAGGAGGGGTCCCCGTCCTGGGGGGAGATGAGCACATGGGAACTGTGCAACGGCCTTATGCCAGCATGGGTTATTTCCTGGCTGCTGGCACCTGGCTTACAGCCACAGGTCCTTAGCCACTCTGGTTTCATACCAAGGGGAGTATGGGACATAGCATGGGACCAGGAGTTAAACCCAGAGGCCAAGGTCAGGGTTTGCTACCCACCATTGGCACCTCCACTTGGCTTTGTCTGGACTTCCCTGTGGCATGAGAACCAGGGATACACAAGAGACACCCCCAGTTAGCTGGCAGGACAGCCTCCTAAATTCCAGGCACCTTGTGCCTCGGTCCAACTCGCTTCCTGAGGACGGGGCCCTCAGAGCAGAGCAAGATTTCTGTCCCCTGTGAACCTCTGCAGGCTCCCTGGCAGCTGGCCTCAGGCTGCGTGCTGCCTTCTGCACCAGTGAGGCTGGCCCAGGCTCTGTGCCCACTCCGTGAGTGAACGGAGCTTGCAGCAGGAGTGGGCGGCCTTGCAGGCAGCTGCTAGGTGGTGCACAGCGTGAGCCTGCACAAGGAGCAGCCCTCAGCTTTGCCTCTTGCTGTGAAGCACGGGGGAGCTCTGGGCTGCCATACCCATGGTCACGGCTGCAGGGACTGCAACTGCACCAGCAGTGCTGAGAGGAGGCAAAAGCTAGAGCAAGAGAGGTCTAACGTGAATTAAGGAGCTGTCCCTGAGAGTTTAATAACACTGCCAGAGAACAGCACCCCTGTTACTGGAATGCAACTGGTGCCTTATTTTTAGGGGGCAAAAGGATATTCCTCTTCCCATCAGCCAGCCTCCATTCTCTTTTGGGCTGGGTGTGCAGTGGGGTTTGCCTTCCTGGCATCTCACCTGGTTGATGCAACTGGACTCATTGACGCTGTCGGAGATCTGGTTGTATTCTTCCTCCCAGGTTGGGAACTTTGGAGGTAGGAGGATCTCGACAGAGTCCAGGCGGTCCAGGCTCCTGCAGCAGAGAGAGAGGGTGTGAGGGGCAGAGCTGGGGCTGTGCTGGAGCTGCTGGAGAAGCTGGAAACACTTTCTCACCTTGCTGGCCACTGGCTTAAGTTGGTACATGGGTAAAGGTTTTGTGGGGTGCAGAAGAAGGAGAGGGGACAAAACCTTGTGTCCCCCAGTCCCCAGGAATGCAATGCAGATGCCAGGTTTGTCCAACCCAAGCCCAGGGAGCACATGGTATCTGTCCCAGCCCCCAGAGTCAAAGCCTTGGCTACAGACCTGCTCCTGCACAGGCTGATGCTGGGGGAATCCTGCTCTTCCCTGCCCGGACTGGCGGGCAGGGGGTGGAAGGTGGTAGGGGGAACGATTTTTCAATGATATTGTTATTGACTTCACAATTAGAAACATCTTCAAAACTTTTTGATGGCTTTTGAGGGAGACCTCATCAATGTGTATAAATATCTGAGGGGAGGGTGTCGAGACAACAAAACTGGTCTCTTTTCAGTTGTGCCCAGTGACAGGACGAGAGGCAGCGGGCACAAACTGAAGGACAGGAGGTTCCGGCTCAATGAGGGGGCAATTCTTGACTGGGAGGGTGACAGAGCACTGGGACAGGTTGTCCAGAGAGGTTGTGGAGTCTCCTTCTCTGTAGATATTCAAACACTGCCTGGATGCCGTCCCGTGCAATGTGCTCTAGGTGATCCTGCCTGGCAGGGGGGCAGACCAGGCAGGTGTGTGGCAGCCCTGCACATTAGCTCAGTGCCATCTTTTACACACACACTTCTCTGGTGTGGTCTCCATGTGGACTGCTGGGGCTCTGGGCATGTAGCAGGGGACAGACAGGCATGGTGAGGGGTGAGCTGCAGAGGATCTGCCTCTTAAACCACCTGTGGGCCCTGCAGAGCAGCATGGGGGTGAAGCTCTTGCCTCACCTGGGGAGGCTGTGGTGTGCAGGAGGTCAGTCTGTCTGTACCCCAGCAGGACGGAGTGCAGGGAGTGTTCTGGCCAGGCAGACCTCCAGGAAGGATGGTGGCACCTCCTGAGTCTCCATCCCAGAGCTGATGAGCGTGGAGAGGGGTCTCTTCTGCCAGGGGTGATGGAGACACCCAGCCCCCAGAGGACTCACTGTGGAGCTTGGCCACCCCCACCAACGGTCCCTTGGCGCTCTAAGCCCTGGGCTATCTGTTCAGCTTGTTGTTCCCCTCAGCATGACAGGGCTTTGTCCATGACCCCCTCGCTAGGATGGGGCCCAGCAGCCCTGGCTGAGGAGACTGAGGCCTGCATTGTGGGTGGGTATACAGCCATGCCAGGGCATGGGGCCATGGCTCTGCTCTAGCTGCTGTCCCACCGGCATGACAGGCTGGGGAAGCGGCCAGACCCTGCAAAAAACAGAGTGGCCACAGCTCCAGAAGGCTCCCTGGTGGGGGCAGAGCCGAGGGGGTGGTCAGCAGATGGCAGCCGTGCCCATGCTCCATTCCTGCCTGGTGCAGGGCCCCAGCAGCCCAAGTGAAGTTTCACACTCTGATGGATGTGACCTGAGTGGTTAATTAGCCCAAGACAGGAAGAACCCGAATGTCTCAACTTGGGTATTTTACACCAGAGACCCCTGGACCCAGTTCTGCTTCCCCTTAAGTACGTGTGAGGCCATGGAGCAGGGATGGATTCAGAGCAGGCATTTCCAGGGCTCCCTGCAGCTAGCTTTGTCCCCATCTCCCACCAGAAAACAGCATCTGCTCCACAGTCTGATGACACTGTGAGGGGTCTCCACACTGCCTGCTTTTTCCTCACTTCTCTGGCTCTATCTGCCAAACTGTGAGCAGTTCATCTGCAGCTGCTCCTGCCTCCTCCTGCTCCTGTGCCACTCACGGTCTGGTGCTGACTACAGCATTTGAACTCCCCACAGCCTTTCACAGCCGCTGGGTGCTTTGTCCTGGGAAGCACAACCTCTGTTCAGGTGGTTCACACAGACCCCATCCAGGGAGCTAGCCCCTTGCCCAGCACGTTTGCTGTGTTCCCCTTGCTCTGCAGGCTGGCTAGCTCAAGACGCTGTGAGTCTTCCTCCCTCCACACTGGGTCCCAGGCCTCTTAGTTCATCTCTCCTGTCTTCAGGGGACCACCCAGCCTAGTGTGTGAAGGGGGCACTCTCTGGCTGGTCCCAGACACCTTGGGACACCTGTGGAGCAAAGCAGATGGCACAGTTGCAGTAGCCTGTGGCCTGTGTGCCACATGTTCCCAGCCACACTGGCTGAGCATCTAAATAGCATCACTGGGTTGGGTTCTCCACAATCTCTTAGAGGAGCAGATCCTTAGCCACACAGCTTCACCAAAGGATTCCCCCCATCACCAAGAGGACAGGGACCTGGAGCAGACTCCTAGCACCAGGGCTATTTGGAGTCACCAGGTCTCTTCAGTCCCCTGCCACATCTTCTTCTGTCATGCTTGTCTCCTCATCAGCCTGTCCCATGCCAGTTGAGCTGGTGTGTGGGAGCTCTGCTGGGCTCTGATCCCCATGTGGGGTTTCCATGTGGGTGTTGATGACCAAACCCCAAGGACTGCTTCTGGGGTGGTCCCTGGGAACCCGTATAGAGCTCCTAGGGCAGCCCCGGAGTTACCTTTGGGTAGTGCTCTGCTCACTCAGGGACTGTTGGGTGGCCTTGAGGTAACTCTGCCTCCGAGCTGCAGTTTTCGGGGATGGTTTGGGGCTGGTTTCTGAGTCTTCACTATCATCATCCCCCATGGCTTTGATGTAACTCCCGCTTCGCATGCGCCGGCACGGGATCTCACTGTCTTTGTCCCGAGACAGCGTGTTGTTCCACTCCCCCTGAGGGACCTGCAAGAGTAAGGGGAGCATGAGCATTTGTGAGAGAGCATCTCTGCGACCAAGGGGACCACAGGGATTTTGGGAATTGGCAGCAAGGCCAACTTTTGGACCCTCAGATGGAGCACAGGGGAAATGGGAAATGCAATTCTTTTCCAGCCCTCCCTTGACAGCTTGAGCCAGGCAGCCTTGCATTTGATTGCCTCCGTTTCAGCATCTACCCACACGCATTCACCCAATGACCACTGCAGACCAACTTCACACTGGATCATGCTTACACAGTTGATATAAGCTGCACAACATCAGACATAATAAGGAGGGAAGAGCCTCACCAGATTTGCACTGCACACTGGGACAGGAGCGGCACACATTCATTTAACACAAAGCCCATGCTTATTAAAGTAATTGCACACATTGTTCAGGTCAAAGTCTGTAAAAGCTGTCATAGACAGGACCTATGGATCAGAGCCCAGCCCTCCTTCTAAGGTTTCTGAGTTGAATGGGACTCCTAGTGTCTGAAATTCATTTCAAAAGCCAAGCCAGGCCCTCACAAATCCTAGAGCAGCTTGGTTACATAGACTTTGTAGTTGTGTCTGCACAGAGATGAGTAACTTGTGCAAAAAAAGCATTTCTATCTTCACTAGTGTGACAACTCTGCCATTCATTTAAGGCCTTCTTTCATTCCCTCCATAGAGATGGGCAAGCTAATGCTTTCCATGAGGCCTGAAGTGCTGAGAATCTCAAGGAACTAACACCATTGCCTGTCTGCCCTGCAAAGGGTTTATGTAGGTGACTGGGGGCATGGCCAAGGCACTGGGCCAGCAGCAGAATCAGATGTCAGCCTAGGACTGATCAAAACAGGAGCCACACGTGGTGTGGGACAGTCCAGAAGAAAGATTGTGCTACCCGAGTTGCCAGGAGCAAGGAAATGCCACAGCCAGTCCTTGGAACGAGGAAGCATGGTCAAGAAGTGAGGGTTGAGGTGAGGACTGAAGCAATTTGCTGCAATGGTTCCCAAGGGATTTCATCTTCAGCAGTCTGCCCGGCTGTGTTTGCATATCCAGTGTGCAACAGCGTGGAAAGGCAAGCGAGCCTGGGGACAGCAAGGGTATTCCCTGAGACAGGGTCTGCTGTGGCAGGTTGGGACGTCCAGCACCCTGCAGTATCACCTGCACTGACTGCAGCTACAACAGGACCAAATAGAGGTGATGGTGAGGGAAAGCCATAGAAAGTGGGTCTGGAGGAGATACCCTCTTACAAACACACACAGACCAGGACAGCCCAAGGCTGCCCAGTCTGCTGCAAGAAGCAGGCTGGTTGGAGAGTGCCATGGGGAGCAACAAAGGGCCATGTGCTGCATCAGCTCATGCTGTTGAGAGCAGCCGCATTTACTGTGTTGATGGAGCTGTTGGATTTACTCAGCTCCCTGGGGGGCTGTGGGACTAATCAGCCAGTGTTTATATAGTGCTTTGGGAATGCAGAGAGCTGAGTTGCAGCTAACTGTGATGAGCCAGAGCTGCTAAGCACCACTTGGTTCCTGTTCCCCACCTTGTTCACAGCTGCCCCAGCCAGCCACCCGCATGGAGTGGCCCTGAGGCCAGCCAGGAGAGATCCTGCTGGCTCCAGCTGAGTCTCTGCTGCAGGAGAGCTCTCCATGCCCCTGGGTCACAGGGTAGCTGGCTCTGACCCTTCCTAAAGGAGGCAGGAGCCCTGGGAGTCACTGTTATACCTACTGTATGGGCCCTGGCATCAGGTCTGGCTTGAGGCTGGATTTTGCTGCCTGCCTTCTCCTGAGGATGAATTGCAGCCTCCTACCCACACAGCTCCTGGGCCAGCAAGCAGCTGGGGTGGGGGGTCAGAGAGGGTTGGAGTCTGCAGCCATGGCTAAGAGTGGCATTTCCTCAGTGGCCAGGCATGCCAAGCAGAGGCCAGAAGACCACACAGCCATCCCCTATATAGAGACAGATGCTGTATTTTGTGGGAGAGTTAGCTGCAGGGCAGCACACCTGGTGCCAGAAACAAAGCTGCTCTCAGTGTGCTCCACATTTCAGTTTAGCAGCAGCAAGGGTAAGGATGATGCTTGCCAGGATACCCTTTGAATCCAGTGACCCAGTCTGGAGTATGTCCCATGTACAGCACGCAAAGTCCACAGGGATTCCCACAGCTTTGGCTGCCCATGGACCAGAGTGCAGGATAAGCGTTTCATGTAGGCGCCCCCAGGGAACTTCTAAAGTAGTGCAGGTATTTGAGGCGCTGTTCAGGATCCTGCTGGCTGCTTCTCTGCATCTTCAAGTACCCAAGGCCCAGAAGAGCCTGTCCAACAGACTCTGAAGCTCTGAAATAGGGGATGAAGAACCCAGAGCATCTCCTAATATCAAGGGACAGACCTTGATAGTGACTGACGCAGCACCTCCCTGGTAGAATCTCTCGTGGAAGCTGGAACCCTGAGCTCTGCACACTGCCCATGTTTTAAAACAAGGACAAAAATGAAATGAGAGCTGCCATGTGTTACTTGTAGGCCTGGCACAGGAAGGATCAGGAGGCTCCACACAGGCTGTGGGGAGTCCTTGTGTACTTTGTTTTTCAGATGTAGGCTTGGTCTTACCCATGGTGTTTTTTTTTTGTTTTTTTTTTTTTTGGTGTGAAAGGAGTGGGAGCAAGAGGATGCCCAGGTCCACTACTCTTACAGGTGGCCAGTGGCCACAGAAAGCTGAGGATCCTCCCTGCCCAGGGGGCTGCACTGGGGAGAAGTGGACAGCAGAGGATCTGCCAGGGCTTGGGATGCAGATTCCTCTCTGCCTGGTCTTGCTGCTGCATGGTGTCCCTTGGCACAGGCACTTGACTGTCCCTTGGAGCTGGGCTCCACTGGCACCATTCTGTGCAATACTGCTCTTCTGACCCTGTTATCATGAGCTAAGCACAGAGGGGACAGAAAAGAAGGGGCCACATGGGGGTTTCTCCCCTCCTTAAGTATGGAGCATTCCCCAGTCACCGAAAAAAACTGAGCATTACCAGAAGTGAGGGAGCAGTGAAAGGGAAAATTCACCTCCTTGGCACTGGCAGGGACAGAAAAGCCCTGCTGTTCACATCACTTCTGAGGGCACGGGGCAGAGAGACTTGCAGAGCAAGCAGGGTTCCAGTTTGCGTATGTGACAGCTCCAACATGCAGCCCAGCCTGGCACATGCGGACATGCAGCACACATGAGCGTACCCGCTGAGGCACCCACGGAGCTGGGCTCAGCACGCAGGGATGCCTGTGCCATGCAGCCAGGCTGCAACGTAAGAATGAGCTTGATGGGGGCACACTGCCACTCCCTCCAGAGCTGATCCTTTGTGGTGTCCTGAGGGCTCCTTGTGGTCTCAGGTGTGTCCCCAAGAAAGAAAGCTGGAGCCCAGGCTGCCTACGTGCCTGACCTGGCCTTTTGGCAGGGGGGACTCTGGGAGGGACCAGGGCTGGGTTTTCTGCTCCATGGGAGCAAACAGCAGCATGTCTGACACTTAATAGGCTGCTTGCCCTGGCTTATGAATTCATGTTTGGTGCTTCTGGGGGGGTGAGGAAGCTTTGGTGTGGTCAGGGAGGCTAACCTGGATGAAGCTCCAAGCTAATGGACAGTGGTGTGACCCTGTACCCCAGGAGCACAGGGAGACAGGGGGCTGTGTCGCTGGAGCTGGGGCCCTTCATCCCCCTCCCCACAGCCCAGAACAGCCACAAGCCCGACTGTCTCACTGCTTATTTTGGGATATGGTTATGAGAGGGAAACACCCAGGGCATGAGCAAGGCTGAACCACAGCGTCCCCTGAAAATTCTGAAGGATGCCGTGGTGCCTGGGCAGCATGGAGTTGTCCCTCCCTTGCACACAGTGTGTGTAAATAGGGTGGGCTGCCCAAAATGGACAGCACTGCCCAGATGGGGGCCTGAGTGCCTGTGGGGCAGAGGCTGCTTGGCCCTGCCTGCTCCTGCTCTCTCCCGGCCCAGGGCATCTCTAGCTCCAGCGATCCCCTTGGGCACAGGCTGCCTGGCTGCTGGCCATGCGTGGGGCCCACCAGGAGGGGAAGACATGGGGATGGGGAGCTCGGCCTCCATCTCTTGGGAGCTGTGCTCCAGACTTTCTTCCAGGCCATTGCCCTGAGGGCTGCTCCAGAGAAAGCCCCAGACTGAGGGACAGGGCTGCACCTGAGCGGAGCTGGGTGATCAGCTGCTCTCAGCTCCAGTGACCGACTGGTTCTGGGAATGGGCCTGAAGATATGATAAGAGCCCCAATAGTCTCTGATGAGTCTGGAGCCTTCCCAGGGCTTGCAAATGGAGCAGGGGAGGTGAAAAGCCTTAGAGTCTTACTCCAGCCTGGAGACTGGGGGACCTGTCCCCATTTTGCTTCTCCTGCCCTCCCTTGGGTCAAAATGGCATTTCTGCACCTTGGGGCCGGGCCCCACACACAGGGCTCTGCAAGAAGGCAGAGGCACTGCAGGAGCGGGTGCTGGCAGAGGGCCTGTCCTACTCCAGAGGGACATTTCCCACATCGGAGGTGACTTCTCCGCCTCGGCCTTAGGTCCCTTCTTAAGCTAAGGGCTGGATGCAAGCTGGCCTCGGCTGGCCACGAGCACCCATGGTCTATTGGCTTTTGGGGGCAGGGGTACGTTATGTGCATCGTGTCTCCTGGACTCAGTGCCCACGGTGCTGGCTCTGTGCCCTACCCAGAGTTGTGGCGGGGGGCTGCCGGCCTCATCCGATAGTCCCAGGAGGGTCAGGGAGTGGAGGGAGCTGGGCAAATCTTCCCCTCAAAGCAAGATCCCTACCTGGCCGCTGCCTGCGTCGGTTGGCCCGGGGCTGAGGGGCTGGTCCCACCTCCGCGGGGGCTCGCTCGGTGGCAGCGGGGCAGCACCCGTGTCCTCCCAGCCGAGCGGTGGGGCTGCCCAGCTGCTGGCTGGGCTCACGCCACCCAGCTGTGCCCACAGCCCTCCGTCAGGCTGTCAAGAAATGGAGGCTCATTACATGGGTGGGGAACAAACCATCAGGGTGGTCTCTCATACCTGGGCCTGGCCAGAGCCTGGGGAGTGAGTGAGCACTGGGCAAGGGCTGCGGGGTCTTGGCACCTGGGGCCACCTGTGCTGGGCTCACACAGAAGGGGTCTGCGGCTTTTTAAACTCCTCAGTGAAAGGAGGGAGCAAAGAAAAAGAAACCAGGCCGAGGACGTGTCTCTGACAACATACCCGATGCAATAACTCCCGCCACAATTTGATGTGCAGCAGTGGCCAGCAAGATATCAGAAGCAGTATGTGCTTCAATAATTCACGGCTCTTTAAAGCCCCTAAGCCTGCTGGCCACAGCCAGGGGAGCTGATGACACCTTTGCATTAGAAAAGTATGCTGGAGATTGACATTAGGTAGCCCATTCAATCATCCTGTCCCTTGCCTTCCCCCATCCAGGCCTGACTTATTTGTCTTCATTCCTATCTCCCAGGCCTGGGTTCTTCAGGTGCAGCTTTTTGGACCACCCAGTGACCATGGGGCTCCTGCGGCCCCCAGCGTTAGCCATGCAGGCCCTGCCATGCAAGCTGGGTGGCTGGCGCTGCCCTCTTCACCCCACAGCCCTGCGGTAAGCAGCAAAGGGAGCTGAGCCCCGCTGCACTGCAGGTCCTACCAGCACTCCAGGGAAACTCTGTGGAGCGGGACTGATGGGGCACGCTGGCACGTCCTTGCGACACATGGATATAAGGGGTTAACATCAGTTATTACTGGAATCCTTCATGGGATGGCGGCAATGCTTGGCTGGAGGCCATGCAGTGCAGTGGCCCCTTGGTGTGCCTGGCTGCCTGGGCATCCCACAGAAGCAGCTGCCCGAGTACTGGGCTTGCCCCGGCCACAATGGCTGCAGGGTCTGAGTGGGCAGCAGGGCACGCGTGGTGCGAGGGGGTCTCCCGGCAAATTGGGGTCACAGCAGAGGGCACTGAGGCTGCTGTGGGGTGGGGAGCAGGGGGCCAGCAGGTCACCCGTGTTGTGGGCACTGCGTCTCCTGACCACACTGCTGTGGCCCAGCACAGGGGCTGGTGGAAGCCTGGAGCAGCCCGACCCTGACAGTGCCGTGTCCCCATGGAAGATGTGGTGGGCTGTCCCTGGGCATAGCTGGGGCCTGGGTGACTTCACCCTTTCCATGTCCCCCTAGCCCTCTCCTGGCAATGCGACTTGAAGTGGCCGCTGAAACATCTGGAGTTGTTTGATAAGTTCTGCCAGGCAATAGGGTGCCCACTGAGAGGGTGTCCCCTGCTCTCCTGCACTGTCCCCTCACGGAGCATGCCATAACCCGCCGCTGCACCCACCTGCAGGTAGTGGTAGGCCAAGTCTTGATGGCAGGACTTGGATTTCAGCAAGGCTTTGTCAATCGTGGCTGAGGCCTTCTGGCACACTTCCCGGGCATGGCTGAGTGTCAGCGTGGACCAGGAGCCCCTCTTAATGTAGTTGGAGTCGTTGTTGATGGGGATATTGGTGCAAGGGGTGACCTTGAGGTCATTATTGCTCTTGGAGGATTTCAGCATGTGCTCGCTGATGGTGTTGTAAGCATGCATGAAATACTTAGGCTGGCTGTGGTCCGGCTGCCGGCCCAGTGTCATGAGGCCCATGGGGTTGCGATAGCTGCAGGTGTCACTGTCTAAGTTGTCATCTGAGCTCCACCAGCCTGATATGTTGGATCTGGTCCTGCGCTTGGGCTCAGATGTCTTCGCTCGGTCTTTGCTCTTGCTCCTCCGGTTTTGCTTGGGGTCATCAGCCCCTTTCTTGCCATTCACATTGCCTTTGGTGGGGCCCTCCAGAGACTGGGACTTGGCAAACAGTTTCTGGACAGAGTGGACAAGGTGCCGGATCCGCCCGGGGCTTTCACTCCGGTGTTTTGCATCGCTCCTCTGAAACTGGAGGGTGCTGAAGCCATCTCTGTGGATGGGCAACTGCTTCTCAAACTGGTCGAGGAGGTTTGCAGGCAGGCGGTTGATTTTAGTGGCTTGGGCATGGCTCGGAAAAGGGTTCTCGTCTGGGACCTCAAAGTGGGAGTTGTAATGGATGCGGGGGAAAGTGCTGCTGTTGGAGATCTGGTTGTTGAGCGGAAGGAGACAGTCTCCATGGAGGGTATTCTGGGCTGGGAACCGGGGGTCCATGGTGAAGGAGTCAGTGGGGCTGAGGAGATAAGGGTTCCTGTCCTGAGGGGCATAAAGAGAGTCTTGGGGGGAGTCCAGGTTATCGGAGAGGTGGCGGCTTCTATTATCTCCTAAGCCCTTCATGATCCCAGCGTTTTCTAGAGCATTGCTCAGGGATGGTGCAGCAGAGCCCTTGCACAAGTGCTGACCCTGCTCCCCGCAGAATCCTCTGCACCTGGAGGAAGAAGAGAAATGCTCAGAGAGTGCTGAGAAGCTCTGCAGCCCACTGCTCACTGGGGCAACCTTACCAGGGCTGTACCAGCTCTAAAAGCAAATGCCTCAAGGTTAAGGGATGAAGGAGAGAAGCAGGACAGGAGAGAGATCACACAGCAGGAGGGAAGGAGAAGGGGCATGAGAACCAGGGACTGGAGAGAACAGGGTACAGAATTGGAGCACAGGAAGGATTATTTCTTTTTAGTTGCATTTTAAGTGCTTGTGGGTCCCAGGGCTCATCCACAGGCTGCTTAAATAATGCTGCTGCTATTTTTCTGGTCTCTGCACATGTTTATTTAATAAAGTCTCTTCCCTGGCCAGCATAACAAAAGATAGCAGGGCTACTGCCAGCAAATCACTGCTCCTGTCCCATTGGTTTTCAGGGGCTGGAGAAAAATCTGCTGTCAAACACTGCACATAGGCCTTGCCTGAGCCAAGGGAAGCTAGGAGCTGAGCATCCGGTCTGCTGCATTATGTTTTGTGTTTCGGTGGTTACTGGATTTCTGAAGGGAGCTGGCAGTCCTGCTCTGTGCTGCTTGCAGCTGCACTAATGTGATATGATGTCAAACGTCTCCTCTCCAACAAGCGCTGGTGTTTATGGCATGTTTTACCCCAGAGGAAAATGTTTCAGTAGCTATGATGAGAGCAGAGGTGTTTTTGAACACTCCGAGCCTGACCTGAGAAGCTGTTTGCTGCTCAGTTGATCTTTTCTGCCCTGCTGCGTTGCTCTTGGGGGAGCTGTGCCACTCTTGCTCTGCCACAGCAAGGGGCTGAGGCTGGTCTCCATGGTCCATGCAGCAGGTACAGGCATCCCTGCAGCGTGCTGGAGGGGACAGACTAATTTGTGTGGGGAGGGGAGCACCGAGGTGCACTGACTCTGTCCTGCTCTATTCAGAGGAATCCCCGTCTGTGCTGGTTTATACGGTGAGAAAAGACAAACTTTTAAACTTTCAGTTTAAAGAGAGTCAATGAACATATGGATAAGCCAAGGTGATCAATCAATTAGTTGATTTTCTGTATTTAAAACTGCTTTGGAATCATGTAGCGTATAAGCTAATTCTTATTCCCTTAGACATTTCAGTTTAGTTTCTTGTTTTTGACTGAATGCAGTTTGAAGATAACTAGCAAACACTGAAGCATATTATGGGTGTAAAAATTCTGAGAAATGGGATCCTAGCTTACTTTTGCAAAATCCAGGGTGCCAAAACATCTAAATGTAGCTGAATGGCTCTTCCTTGGTGAGATGAACTGGCTGCCCTGAGGGCTGGGATGAAGGGGGTCTGTGCAGATGAGCCATTTGCCAACCCTAGGTTGAGCCAATGTTCCTCAACATGCACCTGGAAGAGGAAATCATGCTTGGACCCTCAGAGGCCCCAGGGAGCTTGTGGGAGGAAAAAGCATTGTTTGCTTATTCCTCAAGAAGCCAGTCAGATAATGGTGTGTCTTCTAAATTTCAGTTGGCTGTGAACGGACAGGCTCAACACTGCCTGACTTGGAGGGGAAGCCCTGCAGGCAGCAGGGAGCCCAAATCCTCCTGGAATGCCAGCAAGACCTGCCCGAGCTTAGTTCTGCCCACTATGGCCTCTTTCTCTTCTTTTTTCCTTCCTTCTGTTCTCCAGGTCCAGATTCCTGGCAAGGTTTTTCACTCTGGCACTGCCACACGTGGACATCCCAGCTCTGGTGGCTACCGTGCAACATTACCCTGTGGGAGTCAGACACTCCCTCAGGAGACAATGCAGCTGCCGATTTGATTATAATGGGATGTCCCTGGATATTGATAATAAATATGTCTTTTCCTACAAAGGGCAGTCAATATTTGAAGAAGAAATCTCCCAGGCAGTCTTGAGAAAGGCTTCAGCCCAGTGCCTGCATAAAGCACATCAGCATCACTGCTTTAGTATTCCCTGGGCACTGGGCCACAAATAAAGTAAAAATGCCCCTAGGATAGTGAAATGAAATGAAATAAATTACATGAAAATAAATGAAATAAAATGAAAGCCTGACTTATAAGGGGAAAAAAGTGGGGCCAGGGTCCGGCCTGGCTTGGGGAAGGCTCAAGAATCAGAGGGGTGGGGAGGTAAGACTGAGGGGCTATTGGAACAAGTGGGCAGGGAGGAAAAGTGAAGTTTGTGCAAGGGGCTGGGAGGATGGAAGCAGAAGGGATAGGGGGAAAGGAGGTGGGTGGGCATGGAGCAGGGGGGACAGGGGGCACCCTCTCTCCCAGGCTGCTGTGCTCTTGCCAAGGGTGGACACTTGCTTCTGTATGGCAGAGTTTATAATTCCCTTTCCCCCCTTTGGCCTCCTGCAAGGATGCCAACCAGTCCTGATCCTGTCCTGCTTGCTGTGGGCATCCCCTCGCTTGATTGCCAGCTGCTATGTGGGATGCAGCCTCAATGCTGGGCATATGTGGGTCAAGGCTGGTGGGGTGGTCACGGCTTTCCAGCTGCTGGCACCCACCTCACGGTGGCTGTTGCATCCTCTGTGAGCTGGTTTCTCTTTACGATGAATTAAACTCTTTTCATTACAGTTTCCTTCTGCATCCCTTGGCAGTTCCTCAAGAGGTGGTGTTGGGGAAGGAACAAAACCAAGCTTCTTCCACTCTTTTATTTATTTTTTTAGTTTGGAGACATGGAAGAACTTGGCATTTTGACAATACATCTCCCAAATCCATGACTCTGAAGCTCTCAAATTGAGAAAGAGGAGGGACACTGTCAGAGTATGCAGGGATGTGACAAGGAAGGCCAAGGCCCATTTAGAATTAGATCTGGCAAGAGTGATGTCCCCTGCCAGCTGTCCGGTGCCCTGCCATTTCACCCCCATTTCACCCACATTCTAGCAGGGGAGGGCCCTGCTTAGGAGATGCTCATAGCAGGGGTTTGCCAGAGCATGGAGTGGATGCGTCCCTGAGCCCAGGGGAAGGGGCAGCTTTTGCTATGTGGCCCCTTCACCTTCCTTCCCCTCAGCCTGTGTTCTCAGAATCACAGAATATCCTGAGCTGGAAAGGACCCACAAGGATCATTGAGTCCAACTCCTGGCTCCACACAGGTCTACCCAGAAATTCAGACCATATGACCAAGAGCATAGTCCAAATGTTTCTTGAACTCTCAGGCTTGGTGCTGTGGCTACATCCCTGGGCAGACTGTCCCAGTGCACAACCACCCTCCTGGCAAAGAACCTTTTCCTGATATCCAGCCTGAACTTCCCCTGTCACAGATTGACTCCATTCTCTGGGTCCCTCTTCCCACTAGCTCTGCTGATGCTTGGAGGTCCCTGAGGTGCAGCAAACGACCTGAGCTGATTTATGGCAGTTTTATGTGCCCCAAGCCACTCCAAATCCCGGCTGGAGTCATCCTCCTCTTGGGCACAGTTTATGACAGCAGCACGGGGGCTGCTGCTTGCAGGCTCAGGCCTGAATCACCTGCAGCAGCACATCCTGCAAAATACATCTGCAGCTCCCAAGACTGAATAGCATATGAGATCTCAAACAAGGCAGATGATAGCTTTGCCTGAAGAAGCTTCCTGCTTAGCAGGGAGTCCTCTCCTCCCCTGGCAGGGAGCTGCCAACCTCTCCCTCCTGTAGGGCCCACAGCTGCTGCATGCTGTGTGGGAGACGGGGCTGGTCCAGGGTCTGCTGAAGCTGTTGGGAGATGGTTCACTCCACTCCAGGAAGACTGAATCACATCTTCATCGTGAGCTGAAAATCTTCCATTGTTGTAAGAGATACTTCACTGAGTGCAAATATTTGCTTTTCAGTCTCTTTTTAAAAGCAAAGAGATTAGGCTGGCCTGAACTCTGGACAGAGCAGGAGATCCAAAAGGAACTGGATGGAGAAGAGAAGCCAGCTGCAATGCAGTGCATATACTAGTAAGGCACAGTTTTCCCAGCTGTCTATCTTGCCCTCACTCTCACATGCCTGCTCAGCTTCTGTCTGTCCATCCACCCAGTCACCCAGCCCAGCAGTCTGGCAGCCTTTGAATTACTCTGACAAAAGTCCTTGCAATTATGGTTTGTAACTCCTGGCAGAAAGTGTGAGAGAGATCTGTCAAAACGTCACCCAGGACTGAAGTCCAATGAGCTGTTCTCAAGATGTCTGTCTCTCCGTGCAATCCTGTAAGCCCTCTGAAGTTACTTCTGTCCAGCCAGGATCTCTCTAGTGGTGGCTCCAGCCTGTGATGTCTTGTCCTGTCCCCTTTCCACATGGAGAACAGACCTCTTTTCTCCCTCCCATCCTTGGAGACTAACTGCATGTCCTTTGGGAGGTGCCCCCACCAGACTGTGCACTATGTCCTCAAGAGGACGGCTGCCCAGGAGATGCTGGCCAGTTTCATTTCCATCTCTCCATAGAAATTCCTCCTGCATTGCCCTAACATGGTGAGGGCAGCAGAAGGTGCTTGTCCTGCCAGAGGACCACTGGAGGCTCCATGGAGGCTGCTACTTGCCCATTCTGAACAGGCTTGAGCCCTAAGACATGGAGCAACAAAGTCTGGGAGACCCCTCTGCGCTCTGACCCAATTCTGCGCTGGGACTCTGCACTGTGTCAGGGGCTTGGGCAGACCAGCTGTCACTTCCCACCGTGCCTGCATTGTAACTTCTAGGGGGAAGCCAGGAGAAACTACAATTTTTCTCATGTCTCTGGATTCCTGCTGGCCAAATTCCCAACTTGAATTCTACAAACTCACCTTAAGAGTGGACAGTGAATGCTGCAGTGTGCCCCCAGCAGTAGAGCAGGGTTGTTGAGACATGTATGTGTTTAAAAGCTAAACATGGTGTGTGTTACCTGGGCTGTTTGGAGCATCACACTTTGTCATGCCTGCTTGGAGGAACTGCATGAGCAAGTTACAGACTCCTGCTGCTTGTGCATGCATGTTGGGAGTGGACCATGAGGACAAACACATCTGTGGGGCTGCGGATTTTGTGCGTGTGTCTGGGCTGCAGCCAGTGGTGTGCATGGTGGAGACCCATGTGCAGGGCTTGGGCTTGCCCTGCCGGGTGCTAGAGGTAGCCTAGAAGGAGGCCAGCTGTACCTCTGCAGCTCCTACAGCATGAGGGACTGCAATCTGCATGCGGGTGCTTCTGCTCTTGTAGAAGCAGTAGAGCTGCAGGGATGGATGTGTTTCACCTCCTGCCTGCCAGCAGTAGGTGCAGGCTCTGTGCTGCCTCCCTCCCTTTTACCATGCCCTTGGCACACATCCTCCATGCACGAAGTTAATGTCCTCCCCCTGGCCACCCTCATCTGCAAACACAGCTGTGGCTGCCCTGCCTGAGAGGTGCCTTGAAGAGGCACTTGAAGAGCTACATAATCACAACTGAAAGCATAATTCCTCTCCTTCCTTGCTTCCCTCTCTTTTCTGCCTCCCCCTCACAGCTTAGCCATGCTTTTCCTGCAGTTCCCATCTCTCTTCCAGGTCAGTTCACAGTCATAGTGAATTACAGCAGCAGAGCTTTCCACCAGCTTCTAAGTTTGCTCCCTGTGGAAACACCAAAGCTGTGCCTCCACCCACATGCCAGCCCAGGGGCCTTTGTCCTTGCTAAGCAGAAGGAGGACCTTATTCTGGTGGATATCTCCTAGGACAGCTCAGCTCTCTCATCCTAACCTCTGACATATCCCCTATTAAATCATAACGTACCACAAAATCAATGCACCAGACACCAGACTTTGGCCCAAGTGAGAAGTCAGAGAGCCGTCTTGGCTGGCATCCAGATAAAAATCACGGACTCATCTGTAGAAGAGACCTCTTGAGATCATAACCTTTGAAGAAGGGTTTGCCTGAGCAGGAGTGTTTGGGGAGGGACGTGTCCTGAGGCAGGGCTGTCCATGAAGGGCCAGGAGGCCATTCAGGTGCTGGCAGCCCGTAACACGAGGCTGCTCAGGACGTAAGCCCTCCACAGGGACCAGCCCCAACCCTGATGGGGCTGCAGACACCCTTGGGAGTTGACTAGTTGTGCCCTCTGCTGATCAGCTCTGCCAGGGCTCCATGTACCATCACCGCCCACGTAAACCTTGGCCCAGCCATCCAAGCTGGCTGCAAACACATGGGTGGCTTTTATATATAGCAACCTAGCAGCATGCTAATAACTAGCTAGATACGGAATAAATGATTTGCAACCTGCACAAGAAAAATGACTCCTCACACCCTACCTCAAGAAGCTTAAAATTGTATGCTGTGGTGTGGGTGACGTTGGTCTGCCTACACGCATGATTTCAAATGTTCCCTGAATTAGCAGGAACACTTCATGTGGCATTCAGCGAGGGGGGCCGCCAGCTTCCAGGGCGTTGCATTAATGATGATTCAAAGAGTTCAGAATCTAATCGCAGGGGATAAAAATAACCAGTTTCTGCTTAGTGCTATTCATTATACATCAGACCTTCCTCCAGGCTCCTTCTACCTCTTGTTCCTCCTGTGGCAGTTTGCCAGTGCTGCCAGGGAGCTTCCTTCCAGTGGACTGAGGGCCAAGAAGTGCTGCATGCTGTGGACCACCACCGAGAGCTTAAGCCAGGGTCTCCCAGGGAGCCCCCCCAGGGCTAACATCACACTGAGACGTGTGACAGCATCACCAGGAGCTGAGGCTCACCCACCCTTCCCCCTCACTCTGTACAGCAAGGGAGCAAGACAGGCGGTTCCTGCAAGTGATTTGGCCCATCTGCCTGAGATACCTCCTTGGAAGGTGGGTGACCTGCTTTAGAAGGGCCAGTCTGTCCCACTGCTTGAAGGTGTCCCGCTGGGCTTACCCAGCCCATCTACTCACCCACCTTCCAGGCAGCTACAGATGAAGCAAATCCCAGCATGGCTATGCTGGTGTTCGAGACCAAAAAAGCATGCAGCACTGACCTCTCAAAACTACTGAGTCCCGTATCACCACTGGAGGGACCGACTCACATCCGACTTCACACCAGAATGAGTATTTTGTGTCCATGTAAAAAAAGAATCTGCAGACAGCTCCCAAGGTCTCGTGGTAGATAAACAGTGTGTTCCAGCAGCCCTGGGAGCTGCCATCTCCTTCTTGTTCTCTGGGCAAAGGGAAGGGTCTTCTGGGACTGACTGATGCCCACTGTGGTGATGGGGAGGGACAGGATGTGGTTGGAGACATCCCAAAACACCCAAAACAGACAGAACATAACTTTTTTCCTTGTATGCTAGACACATTTTTTTTTTTGTATCAGCACAACCAATTTCAGTGAAAATCAGTAACTGCAATATGACAAAGATTTTTGACTTCAGATGTTGACTAATCTGGAGGAGCAGATGAGCCCCAGAGAGAGAGAACTTATTTTCATGCAAATGTCACTGGTAATATAATCAACTCTCAAGGGAACAAAAACCCAGAAACTTTACAACCTATTTGACTGTCCCTAAATAGAAGTTTCTCAAAATTCTCCAGGAGATGGGATCTGCTCTGAAGAAAGAGATGCAAAACACTAAGTAGGGCGAATAAGATAAGAAAGGGCGAGTTTTTAGGAAGAAGGCAGGAGAGCTGATGAGACGGAGCAGAAGGACCAGGGAAGTCAGTGAGGGTCATTGTAGTTTGAAGCCTCGCTGCAGGTATGTGCTCTCTTACAAGGCACCCTGGGCACATGGTGGTGCATGTTGTGGCTTGTCTGGAAGAGCAGCTAATAAGACAGCTTGGGAAAAAAAAAATGATTTTTTTCTGTTCAGTGCTGTTCAAGAGGCCTGGAGGTGTGTGTGTGTGTTTGCAAAGCCCTCCATGGAGCAGGCAGAGGATGAAGAGCAGTTTACACATCTGCCTTTGACCTTACAGAGTACGCTGCTGTTCCTGGGGATGGAGGCTTTCTGTGCTTGCAGTGAAAATTTGTGACACAGTAACAGGGTGCTCTGAATGGCGCTGGCTGTTACTGCTGTACCACCGGATCTCTGCAGCTTGCAAGGATGTTGCTTGGTTCCAGGGCAGACGTTCCTGTTACCTGAATGCCTGAAGGAAGCTAGGTGGGCCCTAATGCCTGCGTGAGGGAGGCAGGATGGAGATGCTCTCTAGCACTGGGTTTGCTCCGTGCCCGAGACAAAGCAGCTCATGGTGCCTGAGGGTCCTGGGGCAAGGGGGAGCAGGTGGAAAACTCAGCAGCTCCGTCTGCCATTCTTCCTGGAGAACACACTGAAACTCATCTGCAGCATCCTGCATGCTCAAAGCTGCGGGAGTACTTCCTTTGTCTCAAACTAGGTCAGCGTGGAGGCGTGATGTTACTATAGCAATCAATATTAGATTTCATAACTTTCATAACTGGCGAGGGGTGTGTTGCAGGATTCACTACTAGATGGAGGGAGGGCTGTTACTGAAACGCCCTCTTCATCTTCCCTTCCCCAGCCTCCTTCTCCCTCCCCACCACCGCTTCTTAAATCACATGCACAGAGCTACACCCCCCCCGCCCTTCCTAGCCATTTCTGAAGAGCCCCGCAGCCAGCCCTGGGCCATGCCGTACCTCTCACAGCTTGCTGGGTTTCAGGACTAGGCCAGATTCAGCATCCTGTGCACCGTGTTCCTCTCTGGGCTCCAGAGTTGTCCCTCATGAAGACCTGCCAGGCAAAGAGAAAAGGGAAAATGTCCTCAGGTCACAGAGCACAACAGTGCTTCCCTGCCAAATGTCCCAGATGTAAAATTGCTGCAACTCTGATTGACACACAGGTTGTCTTCATTAAGTTTCAGCAAAGGCACAAGGAAAATGCTATAAAGCGTCCTACACAGAAAGGCAAAGGTGATGGCTGTGGTGGGAAGATGTGGAAGCGAGTCCCATGTTCCTCTGCATCACACATGGAGTGAAAGGATGGACTGGAAATCAGCTGGGTGGGGAGGAAATTGTGCAAGCCTGGGGGCACAGGGCTGGGGGATGGTGCTCTTTGACTTTCCTTCCCTTGTTTCTTTGTCTTGAAATAATCAAGGACTCCCCTTGCTGCCCATGGCTCTGTCTTTGTTTCTTAGCCATGCCAGGATCTTACTGTCCTGAGCAGGGACGGTTCTGCAATCCGCTGTGCCTCATCCTTTGGGCTCTTCACTTCTCTCTGAGTCCTGGGAGAACACAGTCTGGAACAGAAGAAAGTCTGGTCCTGGGGATAAACACCTTCCCTGTAGTGGCCAGCCACCTTTGGTGTCTTTAGCTATACCCCTGCCAAAATCTGCAGCTGACTTTCATTTATCAGTACTCATTAAACTTCTGCTTGAGCAGACCACATTGTAACTGGTCACTAGGTGCTACTGTATTTCAGCTAAAATGTTGTGGTTCTTCCCTTATCGTCATTCACCATCAACCACACTGCCACCAACTGAAAAAAATACTCCCTGTTAGGAAAGTAAATAAAAGAAAAAGTAAATACAGGTTAAAAATAACATTTCTTAATGTTCTCTAAAACCTATGCATCACAACATAGAGCACAGCTTGCATTATTTTATTAGCGAGATTAAATATTATTTGGGTTTTATGTCAATTAATTTCCAAGGTGGGTGTATGCGTGTGTGTGTTTTCTGCTAGGACAATCTGGGGCATTCAGCTTTTCACTGCTGAGAAGCGAGGGACGGGAACAGCACAGTAACAGCCTGAGGAGTCAGCCTTCCCCTGCTGGTAGTTCTCTTCATTGGATCAAAGAGCCCCTTGGGTCCTGAAAGGCTAGATAAGATGGACAGACAGATACAGCACAGGTAGAAGTATTTGGTGTTCAAGAGGTGTTTAGAGACTCTCAATGGATATCCCATCAGACAGAAGAATGGAAAGCCTGGAAAGATCAGAAGACTGCCCTCCTAAGTCTGGTACAAGCCCTCTTCTGCTTCCCACCAGTTCTGTACCACTTCAACTCCAGTGCTGCAGAGGAAGTGGGTAAAGGAAAACCAAATGCCCTGGGAGAACCAAGCAAGAGACAGCTGTTGTTTAGACAAGGCAGTTGTGTCCTTCCCCAGAAGTCACCTGTCTTTGTCTACACCAAAACATTTTTGTTTGTTTGTTTGTTTTGAGTTTCTTGCTGCTGAGTATGTACTCAGCTGTGAAATCTAGAGACAGAAACTCTATCCAGCAGCCTCAGCAAACATCCTTCCCCTAACCAAAGAGGCCTTCACTGTGGAGGCATCAGCTCTTGAAGACAAGGGACAATTCCACATTGCAAGCTCAGACATTTCTGAGCTCAGAGATGTGAATGAGGCTGCAAGTTGCTGCTCACAGGCCACTGCTCCCATCACTAAATATAGCACTCTGTGCATGTGATAAGACTAGGTATGACAAGCCTGGTTGCTGCAGATGGCCATGCAGCAGTAATTGCACTGACACCACCTAGCACTTTCCCAGCTCTCCCCACATGACAAGTTGGGTTACCTTTGAGGCAGTAACCCAGACATGCAGGGACTGCAGCAGCCATTAGAACAGACGGAATCTGTGCCTAGTGCCACCCGCAGATACCCACAGCATCTTGCCCTCCTGCTCTAATGCCACCAGTGCTGTTACAAAGGTAACACTATATGTCACTAGAACCGCCAGTGTCCATTATGAAAGTCACCAGTGTCTGCTAGCAATGCTCTCAGCATCCCTCCAGTGTGCCCAGGTATTCACTCCCACTGCCCAGCATCCTGTATCACCACCAGTAGCTCCTTGTGCTGCAAGAATCTGCTCCCAGTAACACCATAACACCGTCACCCATCACCTCTGTGTCTGCCACCAGCACTGTCAGCGTATCCCGGGGTACTTCTGGAGATGGTGATGATCCTGCAGCCCCTTGCCACAGAGTGGCTGTGAGGGGTGGGAAGAGCAGTGCCTGAGCTCCAGGCCTCCACTCACCTTGCAGGTTTCTCAAAACAAAAGGTGAAACTCTGGAGAAAGTAGTATTTTTTTTTTCTGTAATACTGCTTTTGTCTTTGTATGTTAGTGTTGCACTGAGCAAGCAGTGCTATGATTACCTTTAATTAATATTAACATAAACGCCTCAAGGAAATAAATAAACCACTGTGCCACCAGCACAATTACATTATGTTAACCACCAGACATCCATGTCGATCACCCCATCTTTCTCCTACTCTCAGGAGCAGCTCGATCACCACCTCATGGCTGCTGCATGGAGGGGGTGAGGTTGGAGACGTGTGTGGAAGGACACCTATGAGAGGTGGTGTGACCTCAGGCAAGTGGATTGCAGAGTGAGGGGAAAGGTGGGGAGCTGGGGGCATGTTGGGGCCCTTGAGCTTCCAGGCACTGAAGGCACAGGAGGCTGCCAACATGGTCTGTATGCTCCCACCTTGTTTTCTCAGAGCTGCCCTGTTGACAAACTGATCTTTCACCACCACGTGGTTTGAGGCACTTTTGGTGACCTAAGGCCTCAGATGTTCTGCAGCCAAACCTCACTGGTGAAATCTCGTCATCTCCTGGGCTTTGCTGGACTCCAGTCCTCCTGCCAGCCCCTTGCAAGGCTGCCCTAACTTTGTCCCATCCAATGTCACCCTCACAGCAGTGCCCGCACCAAGACAGAGCAAATAAGCCTGGTGTTGCTGTCTAGAGCCCTAAGTGTCTGCTCGGTGCAGGTATAGTCCTTCTGAGTCTGATGTCTGGTTTCAAGATGCCAAATTACCCTGAACCTGGTTCCTCCAAGACTGGAGGAACTGATCTGCTCATATTTCAGGCTGCATGTCACCTGCAGCATGATGTTTGAGACCATTCCTCTATCAAGACCTGTTGCTGAGGCTCTGTCCTCTAAGGCTGTCAGGACTGACTACTGCAGCTTACTTCCTCTTGTCCCTCTGCAGCCTGAGGCTAACACGTGCCCAGCCTTTCCTTTGCCTGGTACTGCAAATCACCCATGTTAGCACTTGGAAGTTTTCCTATTCACCAAAGGAAGAAGGAGTGGGAGAGCAGCACCCTTCCCAGAGGGGTCTCCTCATCATTTCAGTTGCTGTGAGTAACCAGCATATGGAGTGACTTTAGTAGTAAGGCCTTAAAAGGGACGTAAATAAAACCAGCTCATGATTTTTGTTCCTCTGATCATTGGTCTAGGAGAGTTGGGCCACAGCCTGCTGATATGTGCCCACATGGTCCTGTTGGCTTTAAAATGTGATTGGGAAAGACCTTGAGGAGACACTGATCTGAGATTTGTAATCCCTGGTGTTTCCACTTCAGAGACAACCACAACTAGCAGCTCCAACGCAGGGGCGATAAGAAATGGGTGAAGAGCACAGTGAGGCATGCCAGCTGCCAGCAATGGCAGGGACTGCTGAAAATGCAATGTTCCCCTCTTCCTGCTATCATCCATAACTCAAGTTCCCCCTAATATCTAGATTTACAGGCTGAAAGTTCAGCTATAGTCATTACAAATATCTGCTCTGCTCTCCTTTATATAATAGACCATAACATCTCTCTGTGCAATACCAGGAACAGAAATAATGAAAATAAATATATTTGTGTTCTTGTACTTTTAATCCTATAACCATTTATCTGGTTAAAACAAATAGATTGAACTCCTTTGTGTCTCCTAGAAAGAATTAAATTTCATTTGAAGGATGCTTGTGGCCTGATTTGAGAGCTATCACTGCCTCACATTCAAGAAAAAAAAAAAAGATGCTGTGTATAGAGTGGAGAGCACAGATGAGATGTGTCTGTTCATAAACAAAGAGATCTGTAGTCAGTGTTGAGATTGGTTTGAAGGAGGTATGAATGTGAAAATCTGTGTATGAAAACATCAGAGGAAACAATAAAGCAAGGGTGGGAAGAATGACAAAGTCCTGCTAAACCGTGTTCCTTGCTCTGGGTCCATAAGGGCTGTGCTGTGTGAAGGTCCCTGCACAGATGATTTGTCAGCAGAAGAGTTGTGTTTGGGTCACGGGAGGAGGAAAACGAGGTTATAGAACACTGCATATGCTGTTTCTTTTCCTACTTTCCTGACAGGAAGGTATGGTGAACAAGGACACAAAGACAATACGCACTATTCTTGCACAAGATTTATGGAAATTGAAGTAAGCAAGAAGTTGTGGCAAAATCCACCCATAGTGACCATTAACTCTTAAATGGTGACCCAAAATCCACATCACTGTTAATCAAGAAGAACCAAGAGATGTAGTGGGGACTCAACAGCAGAATTCCTTTTCTTCCTTCTTGTTTACAGATGATACTAGCAAGACCACCAGGAAACAAGTCTTGGAGCTTGTGAGATCATGACTAAGACTTAGAAGAGAATAAGTCTGAGTGACTGAAATCTGTTTTATTTGAAAGAAATACCATCTTCCCTTCCAGTAATGTTCTTTATTAAATTTTATTTCATTAATTTACTAAATTAGCACAGAGACAATTGGGTTCTGCTCTGCCTGACTAGAGAGAGGCCAGCAGCACTGGAGAGAAGAGCAGAGGACACGATTCCCTGTGAGTGGAGGTCACCAGCTCTTAGCGTGCAAACAGCAGAAACCACCTCTGAGTTTCCTGGTGGAGGAACAAGAGATGGAACAAAACTGAATCCTGTCCAGTCCAGGCAGTAGGATAATCATGACACCCAGCAGGGAAGAGGGATACTCTTACTGAGGTGTCCCCAGACAGGTGGTGCATTCCCTCCCCGGGGCCCTG